CCCCTTTTCCTCTCCCCACAGACCGCCATGGCTCCGTGCCCGCGCTGACGGCCGCCCCATCCCGCAGCACCTCGGGGTGCCTCCCCACCATGGGGGATTCCTACACCGCCGCTTTCCCCAGCGCCGCGGGGCTGCTGTCCCCGTCCGTCAGCCCCCAGGCGTCCCCCGGCCCCTACGGCCCCGATTACGGCCCCTTCGGTCACCCCTTCCCCACAGGCACCGCCACGCAGGAGGTGCTGGGGGCTCCGGTGGTCGTGGCCACCAAAGGCCACCCGTCGGGCGACTGCTTGCCGGGGGTTTTCCCCCCGCTGGAGATGCCCCATCCCTACGGCTCCTGGTATAAAGGCGGCCTCGGGGGGGGGCTGCCGGGGGGGTCGGGGCCGGCGGCCCCCGCTTGGTGGGACGTGCACCCTAACGGGGGTTGGCTCGGGGGTCCGGGGGGCGCCGAGGGGCTGCAGGGCTCCCTGCAGGCTCAGCCCGCGCTCAGCCCCCCGCTGCCCGCTTACGGCTCCGATTTCGGGGCCCTCAACCCCCCGCCTTACGGCGGAGCTCCGGGGGTGACCCCGACGGCGGCGGCGCCACCGAAAAGCGAAGCGGGGGGGGGCAAAGCGTTGCGTGGAGGGGCCGGGGGGGGCGGCGGTTCGCCGGGCGGCCGCGCTTCGTGCGACTGCCCGAACTGCCAGGAGATGGAGCGCATGGGGGGAGCGGCGGCGGCGGGGGGGCTGCGGAAGAAGGCGGTGCACAGCTGTCACATCCCGGGCTGCGGGAAGGTGTACGGCAAAGCGTCGCACCTGAAGGCGCACCTGCGCTGGCACACGGGGGAACGGCCGTTCGTTTGCAATTGGCTTTTCTGCGGGAAGCGCTTCACCCGCTCGGACGAGCTGGAACGCCACGTGCGCACCCACACCCGCGAGAAGAAATTCACGTGCGTGCTGTGCAGCAAACGCTTCACCCGTTCCGACCACCTCAGCAAACACCAGAAGACCCACGCCGACCCCTCGGCCCCCAAAGCGCCTTCCGAGCCGCCCCCCACCGCTCCCCCCGCCTCTCAGAACAACCCGCCCCCCCCCGGCCCTCCCGGCTCCCCGCGCCGACCCGTCGCTCCGTCGCCCCGGCGGGATGCGGGCAGCCCCGAGGCGGGCAGTTTGCTGGAGATCTGACGCCCCTCCTCTCCTTTCCTTTCCCCCTCCTCGGTATTTATTTCGGGGTGCCCCCCCCCCCTATAGAAAACCCGTCCGTCCCCCCCCTCCCCCCCCACCGCTCACCCATAGGCAGCGGCGCCGCGGGATCGTTTATAATTTATGTCTTAAATTATGGCGTGGGGGCCGTGCTGGGGGTTGAGGTGGGCACCCGCTTTGTTG